AAAGCTGATATATTGCTTCTGTTTGTTGAAAAAGATGATCTAAAAAAAGACAACTTTTGTTCATCCAACTTCCTGCAAATGACATGTTCCTGCGCCATATTTAGGTCCAAATTACTGTGGATTTTTGTGAAAGGAAGAATGAGAAAATATTTTTCCTGACATCAGTGTTTTATGATTACTGAGCTATTTAGAAATATTTGACATTGTACTGATTTTCTGTCTCAAAATAAACTTTTCTGATTACCCTTACATTTCATGATTTCTTTTGTGAATCTGCAGCTTGTGAGGTAACTGGCAAAAACTCTGATCTATCAGCATTTTTGTTTGCTTTCTTGAGTTTATAATGGCACAGCAACAATGAAGCAGCAATCATCCATCATCCAGCTAGTCAAACAGAATAAAGATTTGAAAGTGGAAATAATTCATGGCCTTAGCATTACTCATTTAAGTTCTATATGACTTTTACTGGAGGAATAGTTTTGCTTTGGAATTTGAAGTTTAAAAAAAGTTTGGAAGTCAAGTTTCAAACTTTAATTCAAATAAATTAAAGTTTGAAAACAAACTTTAGAATTCTGGAATAGGAATGAAACAATTTTCTAAATGCCAAAGATTTTTAGGTGCATTCACCCAGAAGACTTCACAGCATTTAGTTCATTTCACTGCTACTAATCTTCCGATTTAAGGTGATGGAAATTTAAGTGTACTATGACTGGAAAATCTCCACCATATTAAAAAAAATAAATAAAAAAGAGGTTTTCTGATTTATAATAATTATGATTTTAATAAATGTTTGCAGTATACTTCTTTAGTAATATTTTTTCTGGCTCCATGCAATATTGCTAAACATTGTAACTTAAAAAATACAGGTCATGATCCAAAAAGCTTGATAAAAGAAATTTCTCTTGTATTTTCCTCTGGGGAATGAATTTCTGTATCTCCTCTATGAGTAGGAGGTCTCTCAGCTTTCCCTTTCAGCAGAAATTCTCAGTTAAGTTTGAGAACAAGTTTGTTTCTAAGAAAAACCCAACAAAGGAGATTAAAAAAAATATGTCTAAATAACTTAGAAGGTCAATAAAAATTTTTACATGTGTTGTTATTTATAGACAAAGTCTATATATAAATGATTGTTTCAGGTTTTGAGGAAAATACATTGATACTTTCCTCTGCAGGATACATTGAAAATACATGTTCTCTGTGGGAGCTTGGAGGATCTTGGATTTTGAACCTTTATAAGAGTTCTTCCCCTACACATTGAATTTCCATTTCTATTTCTAGTATGCTACCGATATCTTGCCTTTCCCTGGAGGATTTGGTCAAGCTTAAATGATAGTGAGACAGGGTCTGATGTGCTGTGAGAGACCCTTGGAGGTCAGAGAATGAAAAAAAGCCATGATAAAAGTGTGTCAGTGCCCTAAATATCAGAATCACTGACTGCTTCAGATCTGGGTTATACTAGTAGAAGAACAGACCTCTTTGCCCCTCATCTTGCCTTTAAAAGTGTTTTGCTACTACGATTTGTCTCTAGCTAAGCAGATTAAAATAAATATGGGAACAAATCTGTCATTTCACATCCTGAGTTACCTGGAGGTAAATATTGTAATCAAAACAAACTCCCATTCCATTACCTTTATTCACTCTTTTATATGGTGATGTTACAGACTGTTAATCATCATTTTACAGGATTCATTCTTTGTTTAGAGTACATCAACCTCTGCTGCTTGTAACAGGGAACATGAAGATGGGTACTTTATCTTTCATGTGAGTACAGAGTTTGGCTCCTGCAAGCTACGCACTGAAGACTGGCTTTCTTTCATAAAGAGTATTGATCAGCTGTGAGCTGGAGTTTCTTTTGAGTAACTCTATATGTAAAGCTGTGATCTCAAAACATATACTTTGCATGTTGTCTGAGTTCAGCTTCTAGCTTGGAGATGCATATCCAAAAAGCTTCTCATACTCATCCCAGTTGATAGCTCTCATCCCTACTGGGATGCATTGCAGTCTGCTCTGATTTTTGTTCCTAGGTTGAATCAGAAGTCTAGGTGGAGGTTTTGACTGAGGAGGACCTGTAGGAATAGATAGGATTTCCTGTAGGAATAGATATGTCCCCAAAGTATGTGCCAAGGTGTGCAGACTTTCATAATACACCTCTATCATTCTTTTTCATATATGGTTGGAGATTTCAAACAGCAAATACTTCAAGTTTTGAAGGTATTCCAACTAAAGGAGCCATATATTCTGCAGCTTTACTACTAGGTGAACATACATTTCCCCTTGCCTTGATCACAGAATCACAGAATTGAAGGGGTTGGAAGGGACCTTGAAAGATCATCGGGTCCAACCCCCCTGCCAAAGCAGGTTCCTTAGATGTTTGGCTAAAGCTTCTAACTCAAAGCTGGCTTAGCATCTTAGCTTAGCAAAAATCAGCAATTCTTATGAGGGCTAGGTGGTTTACAACTGTGTGAACAAAAAATATATATATGCTGAAAAATATGCCTTTATTCTTTACAAAGCAGACCTGAATTTGTGAGTTGTGGACTACAGCCATTACTACAAAATCATCCTCAGGGTTCAGGAAATTAAATTGAATTTCCTCTCCTGAGAGTGAATGTGAATGTTTGCATTCATTTTTACCTCCAGAGAGGGACTTAACTAGCATGCTATGGAGTTCCAGCGTGCAATACCTCCTAAATCTTTCCTACCACTAATGCTTCTTTTTTCTATAAAATTATTATATGATCTTACAGCAATTATTTCTATACTTACAGTGGTTTTAGCTATTGTGCTTCTCACAAGGACTGGAAGAACATCAGTGTTGAATCTCTTCAGACAAAAAAGCAGCTGATTCAAAATCTTCTATATGCTAGGTAAGTTCTCTAGCCTTGGATGACTAGCTAAAAGTTAAGTGGAATTTCTGACCAGATCATTGGTCTTTAGGTTTGTGAATACTTCTAGTCTTTCAGTGGATACAGGTCTAGAATACCAAAACAGATTTTTTAAATTTTGGTTGAACTCAATACCATGATATCCTTATAGCCTGGCAAGAGTGAAAGAAAATAGTGAAGTATGTACTTTATCACTGGGACAGTAGAGCAAAATTTTGCATGCGGTGCTGGTCTAAGCAAGGCTAGTTTATGTTGGTCTTGCAGCTATTGAGGGTGAGTGCAAAATTGTGTGGAACCTACTGAGAGAATAAAGTATCAATGGCTCACTCTTAACTGTGTGTGGATACCTTTTGCAAAGCTCTGTAAGGCTCTGTCCTGGATATGAATCTGCTAAAGCTCATGCTAATGGTCTGGATTACAGACTAGATATTATTTTTATTAAATTTGTATACGACAGCAGAAGATAGGTTTAAACACAAAGTGCTTTTGACAAACTGGAGAGGGATTCTGGAAGAAAAGTTATAATATTCAATAGCGACAGTGCAAAAGGGAGCTTCTATTTGCCCACAGGAACAATGAATGAGGAGGGAGTTCAAGGAAAACATAACCAACCAGAGCCTAAAGAGTATCACCAACTGGTCATTAGGTAACAGCACAACGCTGCTGCAAACAGAGCATCCATTCCACATGTAAGCATGAAAAAAGAGACCACACTGTGACACGCACAATTATCCTTCTTTTCTTACAAATACTTGTAAGGTCTCAAGTGGTGTATTATGCCCGGCTTTGGATGTTGCACTTCAAGAGAGAGAAATCAGTTGAAGACAGTCCTGATCAAAGCAGTAAGAGACATCAGCTGTCGAGATGTCCTGGGCTGCTTATGGAACAGCGTGTCAAAAGGTGGGCTTTAGCTACGTAAAGAGTGAGGGGAATACTCATTTATCCTCAGCGGGTAATGTAGTAGCCTGAAATCACAGCAAGGAAGATTCAGGTTAAACATGAGGGAAAAGTTTGTAACTGCAAGTTGGAACAGATTGCCTGAGGAGGCTGTAGTGGTGCTGTCGCTGGAGGACTTCACAATGAGTTAGACCAACGCTTGTCAGCAATGACAGAGGTGCAGCTGATCGTGCCTTGGGGCAGCGCCGTGTAGGAGCTGACCTCGCAAGGTCCCTTCCAGTCCTACTTTTCTGTGGAGAGCATTATGCTGCTCCCTCCCACCCCACCTTCGGTGTTCAGTTCTCTGTTCCTCCCACAAGCTTTCCTTTATCTCCAGCTACTCTCCTAAAAATAAGCTTCAGCTGCCTCTCCTATTGTATTATACATGTGTAGGAAAGGCTTTCTGCACAAGGCGGTTCTGTGGAAGGCCCCAGTCGATCTCACCCATGAGAAGGGCGGAACTACTTCCCACCTTGTGTAGGGATGCACTTCAGGTGCAGGAAGAAGGTTCTCACTGTAGGATTTAGCCCTGGACATTCAGGAATGCTTTAAGCCATCAACAGAAACACGGGCTATAGTTGGCAGTTTTTATACAGAAAAAAAGGCAGTTAGATACACCTTTATTTTACGGTATGGGTTATAAGTGTATTCCCAGTACAACAGGGTGCACATTTTCCCACTGTGTGAGGTGACGAAGCTGAAAGGGCGCTCACTTGGTCCAAGCGAGGTTAACCCGAGCATGCTCCTGTTTTGCCTAGAGGAGTTAGTTGGGGCAGAAAGGAAGCAGTGTGGCTTCGGGCCGGGCAGCCCAACTCCGACCGGGAGCCCGAACGTGCCTGAGCAGCACCCCGGGCAGCGGCCACGCCGCTTCCACCACCTCCGGGGCTGCTCCCGGTGCGGATCCCCCGCGTTTCACGCAGCGCCCAGGAGGGCGGACCGCAACGGGAATCGCAAGCCCCGTCCCCGCTGCGTTGCGCTGCACGGCGGCACCGGCTCCGGTACCGGTACCGGTACCGGCACGGGGGGGCCCCGCTGGCCCGGGATGGGGGGGGGGGGGGGCGCGGCGGGGCGGGACCGCTGCTGCCCGCCCCCGGCCCGGCCGGTGCACGTGGTGGGGGGGCCGAGCCGAGCCGAGCCGAGCCGCCTCCTGGCTGCTCTCCTCCCCCCGGCGGACGGGAGCGCTGTGCCGCCGCGCCGCCCTCTGCGCGCCGCTTTTTTCATTTATTTTATTATTTTTTTTCCCTTTTAACCCTTGCTTAGCAAATTACGCGCGATGAGCTCATGATGCCGCGCCCCCCCCTCCTCAGCCCCCCCAAACCCCCTGCCTCGTGTGCCCGGGCGGCAGGAGGGGGACGTGAGGCGGGCGGCTCCGCGCCTCCTTAGCGCTCCGGTGGTACCCGGGAGCTAGGCGGGCCGGCCGGCCGGTCCTCGCATCACCATCACCCTTTTACCTCTTCTATCGTTTTATCGCTCGGTGTCGGGCCGCCTGCCGCTCCATGAGCTCCCGGGGGGGCGGCGGGGCGGGGGGAGTAGCGGCCGCCAGCCCCGACCCCAGCCCCGCCCGGGCAGGGGGCGGGCGGGCGTGAGGCGGGCGAAGTTTCTGCGCTGCACCGGGCCCCTGCGAGGGGCGGCGGGGAGGGAAGGACGTGGCGCCGGGGAAGCTGCCGCCGCCGCCAGGGCAGCCCGGCTTTGGCCATGAAGAGGAAACAGAAGCGGTTTCTGCAAATGACGCTGCTCTTCAGCGCGGCTCTCATTTTCCTGCCCGACATCGGCCTCTGGGCTCTCTACAAGGAGAAGCACCTGGTGAAGCCCGCCGAGCCCTCCGAGCCGCAGGTAGGAGCTGCGGGGTTTTTTTTTGGGGGGGCTGGGAGCGGCGGGTGGCTCCGCACGGGCTGCTGGTGGCACGGACGGAGCGAAGGGAGAAAGTTGTGGGCGAGGGAATTCGCCCTGTGGCTAGCCCCGGGTGGCCCCGGTGTCCAGGCACGGCAGCCGACTGTGAAATTGGGAAGATGCGGGATTTTGGATGCTTCGGGGGTCAGCCCGGGGGGTGCTGGGCTCTGGGGTCCCGCGGGTTTCCCGACGAGAAGTGGAGTTCCTGTCGCAACTTTCAGGGGTCTGTTCGGCGGTGAGCACCGTGAGCAGCTCTGTGCCGCTAAAACTGCTCGTAATCCTCCCAGTTCACCGACCACCTCCAGCCTCTCTTTCCTACCCTTCTTATTGAAAACTCCAGAGAAGTGGCTGTCGGTCTTTTTTTCTTTTGAACGCTACTAAAGTGACCTAAAGAGTGCCTGTCAGATTGATGGCACAACCAACTTTTAGATATTTCTAGTTTACATTCTCCTCCATCACCATTATTAATCATGTCAACTTATGTCAACTCACGGGTGACATAAGCAAGGTGTTTTTGTTTTTCCTTCTTTTTTTCCCTGAAGTTATTCTTCGACTCACTGGGCTTGTGCATGGCTCATAAATCCCAGTAAGACCTGTGTTAAGTGAAGTTTAGTTTTTGGGGGGTTGTTGTAATGAAGCACCTTAAAACCCCGCCTGCAGTTTACCATTTATACGCTTACATTTATCTGTGTTCTGCTCAGCAGTGCTATGCTCCTACACCGTAATTGTCAGTGTAATTTAAATATATTATAAATATTTTACAGGTCATTAGTAAGAAATTATGGGATTGTTTGATCTTTTTGTTTGTTTACTACTTGCGTAGCCTCGATGTTGGAGTGTGCAAGACAGCATCATATATCATTTTAGTGTATTAGTAGTCTTAATTTCAAGGGTCATCACCCACGTATATAATGCACTTGCCACATACTAACTGTATTTAAGTCAGTTCCTTCAACTGAACGGTAACATATTTGATTCTTTTTTAATATAGCTATCCATTATGGAAGTTATTCCTCCAAAGTGTCATCAGTTTAGTTAATGAAATATGCTGAATGGAAGATACCCTAATTACCACAGGAGGAATTTGAAGCTTACTCTATCTTTCCAAGGGTTTTAAAATGCAGTAGATGTCAGGTGCTAGACTGTAGCTGGAAATAATTTCTGCTGAAAGAAAATTATACATGATCATAAGTGTCTGTCATTAGTTTACAAGGTGCATACTGTAGTCTTTGCAGTTTCTGATTTACTTTATGATTTAGGAAAGCTGAAGTGTTCAGTGCAAATAATGATTTCTGTGTTTGTTGCATGACTTTTAAAAAGACATATGCCTTGAGATAAGATGAAACTTCGTATCTTCAAGACTGAACTCTAAGCAGAGTGTGTCTGGATAGCATTCACGGTGAAATAGTGTTAAAAAAAAAATAGTTCCGGATGCAGTGGTTGAAGAAGACCTTAGCAATTAGCAAGCAGCTGAACATATGTGAAGGGCTAGTGAGACTTGCTAATGAGTAAATTTTAAATTCTAAGTTTTCTTAAAGTGTTTTCTTTTTCCTAGTTCACCTCCCTCCCCCCCACCTGAATGCTAATGGAGCAATAATGGGTTTGTTTTAATGAGAAAACAATAAAATTGGCAATGAAACTTTGAACCTTGCAGCTGACTCTAATGTAATTCCAGTATCACTGTCAGAACTGAAGTTGTGTTGGAAATGTCATACTGTGTGAGGATAGCAGGTAGGGTGGCATGATGTAATTGTGGTACTTGTGCCTTCTGATGTGTGCATCATAACCCAAAGTGCATACAAGGAATGAGGTTTGCAGTACAAGTTTTGAGATCAACTGTTTTATATAAAATTAGATTATAAGAAGATGGTCAACGTATTTCTTTAAGACTATGCTAGAAAAAAGGTAATACTAGAAGAGGTTATGTTGGGTAACTACTATGATAATCTTTATAACTTTTTGTTGTTGTTGTTGTTCCCCTCTAGAGTTAGCAGGAGATGAACGTGGTTAGTGCTGAAATTCTGTCTTTGCCCTTGAGGTATTCGATTACTCGATATTTAGTGTGACTTAACACAAGTTTAAAGGTCAATTCTACTGAAATTGCAACAGACCTTAGTTATATATACTAAAGCTGTGTTAGGTTTCACAGGTATGTAGGTGGAGGCAGAACATGAGATGGTGATGTACAGTGAGGTTGTTCTGGTACGTCATGAGGATGGCAGAGGGTCAGAGCTAGTTTCACCCTCATGAGTAAAATGTGTGCCTGGTAGTATTCTGGTGTTGGCAGTAATGCTTACAGACATGCCGTCTTTATTTTAATAACAGCTCAACCAATGTAACTGATCATCAGGTGTTTCTGAGGAGGTGGCAGAGTGAAATTCTGATACTCTGATGAGTTGAAAATGGAACTTCCCAATGCATTGCTAAAGCAGACATTTCCAAACTTGCCTGGGAATGAGGGCTCTGTCAGCCTTTCTGACCACCTAGGCTGCTCACTGCAGCTCTGGAGTGGAGGAGGCATGACAGCAAGCTGATTGAGGCAGGGTATCCTGACAGCAATAAGCAGAGAAGCTGCTCAGAAGCAGTCCACGTGGCAAAAACAGTCTGTTTGTATCAGTGTGCAGAGCAGTGTCCCCTGGGCACGTTGTCACTCCCCATGCAGAGAAGAGGGCAGTTGTGCTCTTTAGCATTATCTGGAAATTCTAATATAACAACATAAGTTGACATTTTTCTTCTTTAAAGTATTGCTCTGAGAAGTTACATAAGATTATTTTTTTTGTCGTCATGCAAATTGTCTGTTTCAGAGCAGAGCAGCTCTTTCTTTCTTCCTGAGGAGAGATTATAAGATGAGAAAATGGTGTTGACAACGGTGATTTCAGACGGCATTAATGATTTTGATCGCTGTACATTAATTCTATGCGCATTATTAACCTCTGAGTGTTTCATACAAACTTACTTTTTCTTACCATATTTTCCTAAGGTTTTCACTTGTGATATTGATAGGCGTGGTCTTTATATGTTGAATACTGTTATTTAATTTTGTTTTTTCACACCATTTAAGGTGAGGCTTCAAAGGCAAAGGTACAGAGACTAAGGTCTGAGTTGCACAGAGCAACTGTCAGATACAGTTTGATAGTAAAACAGGATATGCAAAATACTGCATGTGAAATGCAAAAAAAAAAAAAAAGTCTGTTTTAATTCTTTCTAAGTTAGTCTTTCTACCTATACTATAGGAATAAGAGAAATTGAAGAGGGTACTTTATGGCCTTTTTAAAAAAGCCTTGTAAATTCCTTAACGGCTCTTGGTATCCTTGAGTTTTGATGATAGTTTCTACAGTTAGCTTAACTTTTTTTTTTTTTTTTGTCACTGAAATATTACTTATGTGATGTAAGTATCCTGTCTGATCTGATCTTTTCTTGTGACACATTTCCAAGGCAGGGTGTTGGGGTGTTAAGTTATGCTGGCCAAGCTTTTAAGTTCATTTTAGTTTGCTGTTGGAACCGGCAACGACGCAGTACGCCTTGTGGGATGTAATTCTAGTGCAAACCTGGCTACCCTGATGCTGACTAAAGTTAGTGCTACTTTATCTGGCTGCAGTAAGGCTGTAACCTTGTCTGTTTATACAGTTGCAATAGATGAAAAATAACTTCATGTAATGGAACCAAATTTCCCACAACAGCTTTCCAGTGTCCATAATACAGATATTTGGTGAAAAGTACTGCAAGATGCCTCTCTCTCTGTTTTCAAGGGATGCCGGTGTAGTTGGCTGGAAGAGGAGGACAGTCTAGTGAAGTATCCACTGATACATTTATAAGAAGGTGGATTTGCTTTGTTTTACTTAGGTTTGGCATAGCACTGGGTGCAAATTTACCCCCCCGATTCAGCCACTTCTATGGGAGGGGCTGTGGTTGGGGTTCATGCTTTGAGTGGAACAGAATAGCTCGGTCAGAAGGAACCTTCAAAGATCAGCTAGTCCAATTGCCTGACCACTGCAGGACTAAAGTGCCTCAGGGATAATGCTGTTTGCACATTTTATTCCAGTGTTTGTACCTTTTTTTTTTTTTTTTTCTCCAGTGCATGCACGGTGCCTGGAGCAGAGACCAAAACACAGGTATCTTGCCAGGGGAAAGCATTTTTCAGTGGGATGGAGGCACACTCTCTTTCCCTTGTCCTTTGAAGCCCATATTTCTATCTGGTTAGCCTGATGCTTAGGTCTTTCTCTTGGGACACGTGAGGTAGAGATTTAAATGGACTCTTCAAGATAAGGAGAATGTAGTTCTTACAGCTCCCAAGCACGTGCCGTAGCTGGCAAATGGGCGCAAAATGTGAAGGTGCCAGCTTTGCCTTCTGAATCCAGAAAGCACTTTTGGACTGAAATCTGTCTTGCAAAGGGTCATTAGTTTCTGAAGTCCATGAAAGAGGTGAAATTTCCAACTTACCCTGAGGTTAAATGTTTCCTACTGCTGAGTACTGGGGTTTGGATAGGCACAGTTGTTGCAGGACAGCTAGCTCCATTTGCTCACTACTGGTGCATGCCAAGTACTGGCTTGGCTTGGCCAGTTCTGCATCCGAAGCTGCATGAAAGCTGTACCTTAAAGTGAACTTCATTTTTTTTCTCCACTAGCTCTATTTCCCATGTTTTTCCAGTTAATTTCCACAGCTCCAAACTGTTCTGCTAAATATGGTTTGGTTAGGACACTAATAGGTGCCTGTTTCCTATAATTGCACCACCAGAAGAGGGTCAGTCATGCTGGTATCTATTATACTGTCAGTTACTGGTGGCTGCTTTCACTGCAAACTTGTGAAGCAGAAGAGTTGTCTTTCTCTTTGTTTACAGAGTATAAATATAGGGACAAATAGGGCCAAGCCTACAAAAGTAGCTACTTGACTATAGCTGATGCAAAAAAAAAAAAAATTAAAATAATAATAATAAAAAAATGAA